TCGTAAATCGTATTGGAGTGGCTGCATGAAGGCTGCGACAGTGATTTGTCAGCAGATTTTCTCCATTTTGGCGCTAGTGATTTTCCTTCTAAAAATCCTTTTAAAAAGTGCTTCAAAATCGTCTTTTTTTCGCTCTGGCGTCGAGATCCGGTTTTGGAGCTACAATTTCCGACGCCGTTGCGCGTAGTTCTATTGTGTTTTGCAACTCAGTCTCTGCAGATCGCATTGTAATGGCTGCGTCAAGGTTGCTTCGTGCTGTGGCTGCATTCGTAATACTATTGTCTTTTGCAGCTGGACTTCGTAAATCGTATTGGAGTGGCTGCATGAAGGCTGCGACAGTGATTTGTCAGCAGATTTTCTCCATTTTGGCGCTAGTGATTTTCCTTCTAAAAATCCTTTTAAAAAGTGCTTCAAAATCGTCTTTTTTTTTTCGCTCTGGCGTCGAGATCCGGTTTTGGAGCTACAATTTCCGACGCCGTTGCGCGTAGTTCTATTGTGTTTTGCAACTCAGTCTCTGCAGATCGCATTGTAATGGCTGCGTCAAGGTTCCTTCGTGCTGTGGCTGCATACGTAATACTATTGTCTTTTGCAGCTCGACTTCGTAAATCGTATTGGAGTGGCTGCATGAAGGCTGCCACAGTGATTTGTCAGCAGATTTTCTCCATTTTGGCGCTAGTGATTTTCCTTCTAAAAATCCTTTTAAAAAGTGCTTCAAAATCGTCTTTTTTTCGCTCTGGCGTCGAGATCCGGTTTTGGAGCTACAATTTCTGACGCCGTTGCGTGTAGTTCTATTGTGTTTTGCAACTCAGTCTCTGCAGATCGCATTGTAATGGCTGCGTCAAGGTTGCTTCGTGCTGTGGCTGCATTTGTCATACTATTGTCTTTTGCAGCTCGATCTCGTAAATCGTATTGGAGTGGCTGCATGAAGGCTGCGACATGGATTTGTTAGCAGATTTTCTCCATTTTGGCGCTCGTGTTTTTTTGTTGCACGTAGGTTTAGAGCAGTGTGAAGTGTGGGGCGTGAAGAGTGCAGTGTGAAGTGTGCAGTGTGAAGGAAGCAGTGGGAAGTGTGAAGTGTGGAGTGTGAAGTTTAAGTTTGGAGTGCGAAGAGCGCAGTGTGAAGTGTGAAGTGTGAGGTTGGGAGTGTGAAGGAAGCAGTGAGAAGTGTGAAGTGTGGAAGTGTGAAGTGTGAGTGAAGTGTGGAGTGTGAAGTGCGAAGTGAGAAGTGTGTGAAGTTTGGAGTGTGAAGTTTGGAGTGGGAAGGAAGCAGTGAGAAGTGAGAAGTGTGAAGTGTGGACTGTGAAGTGTGGAGTGTGAAGTGCGAAGTGAGAAGTGTGAAGTTTGGAGTGTGAAGGAAGCAGTGAGAAGTGAGAAGTGTGAAGTGAGAAGTGTGAAGTGTGGACTGTGAAGTGTGGAGTGCGAAGAGCGCAGCGTGAAGTGTGAAGTGTGAAGTGTGAGGTTTGGAGTGTGAAGGAAGCAGTGAGAAGTGTGAAGTGTGGACTGTGAAGTGTGAGTGAAGTGTGGAGTGCGAAGTGAGAAGTGTGAAGTGTGAGTTTTGGAGTGTGAAGTTTGGAGTGGGAAGGAAGCAGTGAGAAGTGAGAAGTGTGAAGTGTGGACTGTGAAGTGTGGAGTGTGAAGTGCGAAGTGAGAAGTGTGAAGTTTGGAGTGTGAAGGAAGCAGTGAGAAGTGAAGTGAGAAGTGTGAAGTGTGGACTGTGAAGTGTGGAGTGCGAAGAGCGCAGCGTGAAGTGTGAAGTGTGAAGTGTGAGGTTTGGAGTGTGAAGGAAGCAGTGAGAAGTGTGAAGTGTGGACTGTGAAGTGTGAAGTGTGAGTGAAGTGTGGAGTGCGAAGTGAGAAGTGTGAAGTGTGAGTTTTGGAGTGTGAAGTTTGGAGTGGGAAGGAAGCAGTGAGAAGTGAGAAGTGTGAAGTGTGGAGTGTGAAGTGTGGAGTGTGAAGTGCGAAGTGAGAAGTGTGAAGTTAGGAGTGTGAAGGAAGCAGTGAGAAGTGAGAAGTGTGGAGTGTGAAGTGCGAAGTGAGAAGTGTGAAGTGTGAAGTGTAAAGTTTGGAGTGTGAAGGAAGCAGTGAGAAGTGAGAAGTGTGAAATGTGGAGTGTGAAGTGTGAAATGCGAAGTGAGAAGTGTGGACTGTGAAGTGTGAAGTGTGAAGTGTGGACTGTGAAGTACGAAGTGTGAAGTGTGGACTGTGAAGTGTGAAGTGTGAAGTGTGGACTGTGAAGTGTGAAGTGTGAAGTGTGGACTGTGAAGTGTGAAGTGTGCAGTGTGAAGTGTGAAGTGTGAGGTTTGGAGTGTGAAGGAAGCAGTGAGAAGTGAGAAGTGTGGAGTGTGAAGTGTGGAGTGTGAAGTTTGAAGTTTGGAGTGCGAAGAGTGCAGTGTGCAGTGTGAGGTGTGGAGTGTCGAGGGAAGGACACGGTCGGGACAGGGTGTCTTTGAACTATAGGTCATTTATGTTTGGGAAACTTCCGCCGCCGGCTTGCCCGGGTCTATGTTAGTTGTAATGTAGTGTAATTAGTGTAGTGTAGCTGCAGTTGTAGTTGTGGCGTGGTGTAATTAGTGCAGTTGTAGTTCTAGTTGTAGTGTAGTGGAGTTGTAGTCGTATTGTAGTGTAATTCGTGTAGTGTAGTTGTAGTTGTGGTGTGGTGTAATTAGTGCAGTTGTAGTTTTAGTTGTAGTGTAGTGTAGTGGAGTTGTAGTTGTAGTGTAATTAGTGTAGTGTAGTTGCAGTTGTAGTTGTGGTGTGGTGTAATTAGTGCAGTTGTAGTTCTAGTTGTAGTGTAGTGGAGTTGTAGTTGTAATGTAGTGTAATTAGTGTAGTGTAGTTGCAGTTGTAGTTGTGGTGTGGTGACATTGGTGCACTTGTAGTTCTAGTTGTAGTGTGGTGTAGTGGAGTTGTAGTTGTAATGTAGTGTAATTAGTGTAGTGTAGTTGCAGTTGTGGTGTGGTGTACTTAGTGCAGTTGTAGTTTTAGTTGTAGTGTAGTGTAGTGGAGTTGTAGTTGTAATGTAGTGTAATTAGTGTAGTGTAGTTGCAGTTGTAGCTGTGGTGTGGTGTAATTAGCGCAGTTGTAGTGTAATTAGTGTAGTGTAGTTGCAGTTGTAGCTGTAGTGTAGTGTAATTAGTGTAGTGTAGTGTAATGTAGTGCAATGTAGCGGCAGTGGTAGTTGTACTTGCAGTTGCAGTTGTAGCTGTAGCGTAATGTAATGTAATTGGTGTAGTTAAGTGTTGTGTGATGTAGTGTAGTTGTAGTTGTTCTTGTAGTTGTAGTGTGCTGCAGTGTAATTAGCGTAGTCTAGTGTAATGTAGTGTAGATGTAATTGTAGTTGTAGCTGTGGTAGTGGTAGCGGTAGTGGTAGTGGTGGTGGTGGTGGTAGTAGTAGTAGTCGTCGTCGTAGTAGTAGTAGTAGTCGTCGTAGTACTAGTAGTCGTCGTAGTAGTAGTCGTCGTCGTAGTAGTCGTCGTCGAAGTAATCGTAGTAATCGTAGCAATCGTAGTAACAGTAGTAACAGTAGTAACAGTAGTAGTAGTAGTAGTTGTTGTTGTTGTTGTTGTAGTAGTAAGTTGAAGTTGAAGTTGAAGTTGAAGTTGAAGTTGAAGAAGTTGTTGTTGCTGTTGTTGTTGGTGGTGGTGGTGGTGGTGGTGGTGGTGTAGGTGTAGGTGTAGGTGTAGTAGTAGTTGTAGTGTAATCAATGTAGTGTAGTGTAGTAAAGTGTAGCGTAGCGTAATTAGAGGCAGTTAGTGTAGTGATGTGTAGTGTAATGTAGTGTAGTAGGGTAGTTGTAGTTGTCTATCTATCTGTCTGCCTGCAAGCTTCAAAACGCAGAAATTCTGCGAGACTTCCTCAATTTTGAACTTGACAACATCAAAAATGCCGTTAGTGTGCGAGACTTCCTCAATTTCTGAATTTGACAACTTCAGAAACGAAGCGATTCTGCGAGCCTTCCTCAATTTTTCACATTGACAACATCAAAAACGAAGCAATTCTGCGAGACTTCCTTCAAAAATGGAAAGTTGAGTGCAGAGGTGGCGGCCTCGTACCAATGCGTTTTGCGATTTTTCCGTTCCATCTGTCTAAAGTATTGCGCCTGCCACGAAAAGTGAGGCCAGGTCATACGAAGTGCTGCACCTATCACGCAAAATCATCTTAGGAAACCTGAAGATCTGATGCTCCAAAATGCAACCCATCTCAGGAAATCAGCGCCCGGACCTCCTAACATCTCTGATGAACATGTCTCTTGTACTGCGCCTGCCGCGCGAAAGACATCTTGCCAGATCCTCTGCAAATGTCCGCACGCCTGCCATCGTTTTAGGAAATGCTACAAAACATTACAAAACCCTCACGTTTTGCTCGCTTTTGACAAGGTGCACAATCCCTTGCGCCTGCCACGCAAAACGACATCTGAACGTCCAAAAGTGCTCCGAACCCATCACTTTTTTACACTGTTGACTTCGACATGTGCTTCGTGCCGCAGCGGCGTGCACTTTTTCGACGTCTCAACTTCCAAAAGTGGTCCGAGCATGGTGTGATTTGTACATTTTGACTTGGACATGTGCTTCGCACCACAACCGCGTGCACTTTTTCGACATCTCAACTTCCAAAAACGCCCCGAACGTGAGGCGCGTTTAGCTTTTTCACTTGCAAATGCGCTTAGCGCCACAACGGCGTGCAATTTTTCATCTCTCATCTGATCACATGGCTCGGCACCCGCCGCTTGAGCGAGCCTACTTTTCGATCCTTCGAAGCCACAAATCATTGGAAAAACACAGAGAATCGCGACTTCGCTACCTTTTCGCGCACCTGCGTCTTCCTTCTTCTCATTCTTCTCTTCTCTGATCTTCTCTCTTCTTCTCTTCTCTGACTCTTCCCACCTCTGCTTTTCCATCTGTCCATATTGTCGGAAGTTTGACTTCTAAGCTTCCTTCGCTTATCTTTGTTTGAACAGCCTCGTGACACTATCATGATATCATGGATTATATGGATTCGCTCATGGCTTGTGCAGTGGTACCTTTTGGTTCGTTCATGTTCAGGCCAACTTGATCACCAGAGCTTTGGAGCGACAGTTCCAAGAAGTCAAGCGGTTGGAGGCTCGACATCCAACGGCTATCGTGCTGGATCTGCAGTTATTTGATGTACATCGTTCCCCTGGCAACATAGTTGAGGATCAAGATAGGCGGAAACGAAAAACTATTGTGTCACATCATTATTTGAATGTTTGCAGAACGATTCCGACTTTTTGATACTTTTTGCATATTCTTCTCAAGAAAAACTTGCTATTCTTGGAAGGGCCAGACGGAGCAAGAGTTTGACAACGCAGCGCGTTTGGAGACAAAGGCTTCGTAGTGCTATGACAATTGTATAAGCGGGCAGTTTCGTGAATGGAGGACTTGAACTCAGTTCTTCTCATGAACCGTTGTTTGAGTTTGGAACATATCAATCTTTGTCAGACCGCATCATTGCTGACTAGCAGCCCGGATGCTGAACTTCGCTTTCAGACTGAAGGATGACTGTCAGCAGTTGCAGATCTTGCCACATTGCAGTAAAAAAATATGTTTTGCATTGTTTTGCCAGTTTTCGGAATATGCTGTCATCATGCATCATTGAATCCCAAAAACGGATCTGCAGGACCCCCTTTAGATTTAAGTAGCATTAATAAATATTAATAATTACTATGGTTTGCGGCAAAATTCCCCTCCAATCAATCCGTTGATGAAACAGTCCCAGTATGTCCCAGTTTCATCCAGTTTCCCATACATTTTCCTTTCCGTGTTGCGCAGGAGAGATTCAGTTGATCCAGGAGGAGAAAAGCGAATTGATTGGCCCAGTTCTGAGCAACTCTTCGACCACGTGGCAAATGTTTTGGTCTTATGAGTGGAGCATCAGATTCATCAGATATACTACTATACTAGATCATACCAGTACAAAAAACTGGAACAGATTTGCACTTTCGCTATCATTCTATGCAACAAGGAGAGATTCGAAGATGTCGTTCTGTGAAGCAGGAGCAAAGTTATCGCGGTACCGCGGGCTTTGCAAAACATGATAGCTTGGCAGTCGAGCAAAGCAGCATTTACAGTAGACATCTCCAAGCATTTACAAATTAATCAGATTACAACACCAGCAGAGATATTCCATCTTGACTTCCAGCAAGAAAGGGAGTGTTTGATGCTTTTGACGTGTGTTGGTTTGCCAAAATGAACCTTTTATGTCTATGCCGCCAGATGCCGCCAGATGCTGCCAGATGCCGCCAGGAGCGCCTTGGAAAACTGCTGCACCTGGAAGAAGCAGCAGAAGATTGGGCGGATGCTGCAGCTGTGCCAGTGGAACTAGTGCTATCACTGGGACAAGCGCGCTTTGGCATTCAGGCAGCTGGCTTCTGATAGATTCTGCTGTACAGCTAGGAAGATTTAGGCGGAACCTTTGGGACTTTGATTGTTTGAGAATAATTGGCTGAAATATGCAGAGGACATCAGAGGACATGCCCTAACATGTCACCACGATTCCTGCAGGAAGCATTGCTGAAGCTGGCACGCAGCAATGAGATGATGGCTTGTGCTGCAGAGGAGCTCCTCACATGTGCTGATAGCTCGATTAGGTCGTCATGTTTTTCACGGCCAGGAGCATGATGCGCTCCTCCTCTCTTTGCACACAGCACGCCAAGAGCGACGTGTGAGAGTTCTTTGCCTTTGCATAGCTGGCAGGTCCGTATCACTATGAAGCCAAGGATACAACCTCTCATACACACAGACCGGAAGTCCAAGGCACCGCTTCACATTCGTTTTTTTAAGAAGCCATAAGAAACCCAACACTTCTTCCTTATTTTCAGCTTTTCAGCCGCTTCCTTTGGTTTGTCAAGGTAGCCCAACTTGCTACTTCAGAGTCTGCTCTCCTCGCGTCACGCGCAGAGCTGGGTGCTGAGCGAACCGAAGCTTTCATGGAGCGGCGTCAAGCGACACTTCTGGAAGCTGAATGCGAGGACTTCCAGGCAACAACAGGACAAGTGATTAACCAAACATTCGGGGGATGAGGGTTCACAATCCTTCTTGAAGGATATATATACTATACTATAGACTATAGAACAATATGGAAGCTTTTTCAATAACAACGAATTTATTCATGAAAATGATTGAAGGAAGCGAGTATAGTTGCTTTTGTAATTGCAGCAAAGCTCAGATGGAAGAGGCATGGACCATGGACCAAAGTCACTTTGAGCCTGGAAGCACAGTAGACAGTCCGCAATATGTAGGTCATTGTGCGGAGCATGGCCAGCAAATTTACAGCCCATCCTATTGATATCTATTGATACCTATCATATTAATTTAATGATACACAAAGTTGCAGGCTGAGATGAGCCATGAAGAGTCGGAAGAAGGCCTTTGTGGCACTTTGGTCGCAGGTGATGATGGTGATGTCGCCCTGAAGGCTGTGTCACCTGTCGAAGATCTAAGGTGCTACCATGCGATCACTTCAACAGGCAGAAGGGCGGATCCTGGAAGAAATGAACACGGAAGAATGGCTGGCGAAAAGTGCAAGGGAGGCAAAACAGTCCCTTGCGAGAGCCTTGCCCTGTACACCGCTGCTTTGAGATACATTTGAGCCAGATGAACCCCTTATGTACTAGTGAAGGTGACAAGGCTCCACATAAGCCAACGTAAGTCAATGTCCCTGCCAAAGGAAAAACCTCAGCGGCATAAGCAATTCATAAGCTGTGCTTAAGCACATCCGTACAACCTTCAAAATCTTCAAATCTGTCAGGGTTTTTAGCATGATTGAGACAGCATTCAGTTTGCACCGAAACTGCTGACTGCGTGATTATCTGGAAAAGGACGAAGGTTTGCCATTGGATTACAAAAAACTGTTTGTTGTTCTAGTGGCTTCTTCTTTTGCAAAGCGCTTTAGCAGCACTTATGCGTACATCTGAGAGTGTTGAATCATGTTCCATCATGGTTGCTTTTTTTTTGTGGTGAAGTAATTTGACAGGTTATGGCATTCCTTTTGTTTTCAGGCTATGGCATTCCTTTTGTTTTCAGGTACGTATGACACTTCAGGGCCTGTTCCGAAATTTCAGGTGTTTGCAACTGCTGGTCCTACTGTTTCTGCTTTGGTCGCCCCTACTACCGGTTTTGCTGTTTTGGCACGTTCTGCCACTGTTCATTTTCAGGCGTGTTGTTGTCATCGCCCAAACCTGAAAGCTTGGATTTCCTCTCCAAGTTCTATTATTGCTATTCACTTTGGCAGATGCATCCTTTACTTTCAGGTACTGTAAAGTATTTTTGATGCCTCAACAAGGATCCACACTTGCTTTCCGCCATTTTCCGCCTATTCAGATGTGCGGGGTAAGTTTTGCTTCTTGTTAGTTCCTAGTTCCTACTCAAGCACTGCTGGCTGAATCTTTTGGAGTCCATGGGTCCCTGTTGACAGTTTGAGACTGGTAAGTCATTGGTATCCCATGGTAATCCAAGGACACATCGCTCAGCTTGATCATGCACTCAGCCTCTCAGATGCCAGAATGACATTCTTGCTGACAGCACTTCTAAAAAAAAAAATAATCGTGACTAGTGCGAGATATGGTCCAATGATCTATAGAATTCACTGCTTACTCAACTGCTGTCCATACATTGAGTATGCAAAGTGCAAAGCCGTCCTATCTTTAATGTTTATTTAGAGTGCGACTCAATGCATTTTTTCGAGGATGTCAAGTCTGAAGGTTGTCGAGTCATTGGGGCACTGATGGGCACTGGAATACTGAGGGGCAGCTCAAGGGCGACGCCTTGAAGAGGAGTCCATGGATGCTTCGGTGCAGGTGCCGCTTCGGTGTACTGTAGGACTGGGGTCCATGGATGGACCATCTTTGAGCTCGGGCAGTCGCATGGCGTTTTGTTGACATCAGTTGACATCCAGCACGGAGCAACCTGGAGCAATGACCGTTCCTGGAAGGCAGAAAGCTTGCATGAGCTTCACGGGCGGGCCAATGAGCTCCAAAGTGACACTTTGCTGAGATCTAGGATAGATCTAGGCTACTTTACTGGTGTGTATAACATTGTATAACAAGATCAAAGACATACACGGGCCACCGTATCGGCACGATGCATAGATGTGGCATAGGGATGGATAGGATGAGGGCTTTGACATTTTTTGACTATTATAGGCAAACCCAGACAGTAAACATGACGGAACACAAGATCTTTCCAAGTTTGTCCAAAAGAACCTCTTAGTATACAAGAACCTGAGCATCATATCGTTATGTGAGGACTGTGGGTAGGCCTTGCAAAGAATGGACCAGACATTTTATCGCTGGCAGTTCCTTTTACTGGCTTGGCAGCATGCAAAGCCCTTTGGAAGCTGTACGCAATGAAAGACAATGGCACCAGTGGGTTCTCAACCATTGAGCGCTAGCCGCGACATTTGGACAATCTATTTCGTTACGTTTTTTCTGACTCGATGCAAGAGATCGACTCTGCCCACGCGCGGTGCACGGCAACAGAGAGAACAGAGAGTGTAACAGCATGGAACAGCCTGAAACGTTCATGCAACAGCGTGTCTCAGGAAACGAATGCCATCAAGGCCTGTCTTATGTCTTTCCGCAATTTCATGAATGTCATGTGATTGCAATGTGATTGCTATATAGATTGCCTGTATATAAAGAATGTCATGGCACGATGGCACAGGAAGAAGTTAATCTCTTGCTCTGTGGATGTGTTTGGCAAACACGCCTTGTTGCGTTGTGCTGACTTCGGCAAAGAATTCGAAGGCATCTCAGCGAAAGCTGCAACATGCCGACCTCCGTTGTGGCCTCAGACAGTTTACATCCGTCCGAATTCGTCCGAATCCGTCCGAATCCATCCTTACAGGTCTTACAGAAACCCTTTGACCATCTCATCTGCGGGCCGACTGAGATCGACTGAGGCTGTCATTTGGAGGGTGAGAAGAACAGGCATCGTCTCAGCAAACTCAACGGACTTGCCCTGCCTCAATTTCGAGCCAGATGACCTTGACATATCACCTGTAATCAGATGTTTATTATATTTTATATTATTTTATTATGATCCTCCTATTCCTCTTGAAATGCTGCTGTTTCCAGGTCTTTGATGGGAGCAGAATGCGCCCGAGCCAACGAGCTCGTGCAGTGCCCTGTCTGAAAACGCAGCAAAAGGATGCAATGGCCTTTGTTCCAACATCAAGCACAAGAGTCCGGAGAGGCAAGTTACCTGGAGATCCGGATCATTACAATCGTATTTTTCGAATGTTTCGTGTGTTTTCGTTATAGTACCGTTATACTTCTATACATAGTACATAGTTCATGGATGTTCATTGCCAATTTGATGAACAGCGCAATGGACGGATTGAAAGGGATAAACAAATAGATCTTCAATCTCTCCTGCAGTTGAGGTGCTACACAGAAACCTGGGATGAGTGCGAATCTTTGCGTCGCAGAATCTTGGAAGAGAGAGGAGCAGCCAAGGCCACAAAGACAGCTGTGGCCGCAATGCTGCACTTTGAGTTGTGGATACGGTTGCATCATGATGCTGCATGTGAATCTGTGAAACCAGCCTTTTTTCAGCTACAGAATTTGTAGTGTATATATACTATACTGTATAGATCTGTATTATATAGAGTCTTCAGTCTCCAGTTTTGAATCATGGAAACATCTAGAATCTAGAAATATCTAGAACATGTATGAAAATCTAAGAACAATCTGTGAAGCATCTATATAGTCTATGAACATGTCAGTTTACCAAGTATCCTTGGTGTTTCCCTGTCAGGTGGCCAAAGCTCAAGCACATGATGCCCTCTTGGAAAGCGAGGCCTGGGCACCTGGGCATCTGGGCACCTGGGCTGATCTCCACTATGTGCTGCAGCTTGAGGCAGCTGATGCTGAGCTCCTCGGGGCACGTGAGCAATGCGAGGCAAAGTGGAGAAATCATGAGAAATCTTGTTTTGATTTTTGATGCAGGTTCCAGACCAAAATCGTCATAAACCAAGATCCAAGAAATGTGTGTTGTCCTTGCGATTCCGAAGCCATTTGGCTTTACTTGTGTGCTGTGAAGCCCCAGCGTGCTTGATTCTGTGAGTTTTGCCGCTTTGCTGCAGAAATGGAATATTATGGAATCATTTTGCAAATTATTACAGTATCATATCAAGTTTGAACCTCCAGTCTCCAGATGCTTTTTTTTTTCGAGGCAGCGATGGCCCGCATTGCGAAGCTCTCCTGTCTTGCTGTCACAGCCTGAGCTCCAGCCCATGGCGAGCAGTATCGAGCAGTGCAGCCATGCCATGCCTGACTTCAGGTGTTGTTTTTCTTCCTGCGGGATCACTTCAGATTCTTGGTTCATCTTGGATCTTCTTGGTACATCCCAAGATCTAAGAGACAAAGCACAACGCGATGATCCGTGATGATCCATGATGTAGATGTAGCTGATTGACCATGCATTGAAAGATCAAGCGATGGGACAATACCCGAAAGGAGGAGGAGACTCATCTTCCTCTATCTAATTCGTTTGCGATGACAGATTAGTGATTAGTCGTTGCTGATCTTGTTGTCCCCCAAGTGATATCTGGCTCAGGTTTTGTGCCTTTTGTGCAGAAGAGGATTGATCCATCAGCAGCTTCAAGTCTGCGTGAGAACCTGCACCGAAGAAGCGTATGGCTGGCAGGCGTGGCAACGTGTTGTTTTGATAACTCAATTTGGTATGTGCTGCTCAAGCTGTGAATAGCCAGGGTGGATAGAAGTGGTGCTGAGAAGTGTATCATACTGCAGATTCCGGACGATCTTATTATATTGATTTCATTCCATATCGCGCATGATGATGCCTCAGCATATTGGTGACTTTCTTCGTTGTAATGCCTCAGGAAAGCACACTTTTTTTTGCCACATCTGAAAGGTGGCTTGGGACTCTTCATGGACTCTAAGCAAGCGATTGCTGGAAGCGACGCAGAGGACTCTAAGGGTCGAAACGTCACTGGGCATGGTACTCCCTCTCATTTCTTTCTTTCTTTCTTTCTTTCTTTTTTTCTTTCTTTCTTTCTTTCTCTCTCTCTCTCTTTGTCTCCTTCTCTCTGTGTCTCCTTCTCTCTGTGTCTCTATCTCTCTGTGTCTCTCTCTCTCTCTCTCTCTCTCTGGCTCTGCTTCATTCCATGGTCTCATTTCCCCTGCTGTCAGAAGATGTTGTTGTTCTTCCTCTCTGTTGCCGTCCTCAAAGCATGCACCGTAAGCATCTCGTACGTACCATGGAGTGTCTCACCGGGCACAATTGGTGATGTTTGCATCTATGGGGCCCATTCCTTGGCTACATGATCCGGAAGCTGGTACTTGTAATGGATAATTATGATAATATATTTTCCAGAACGTCATGCTACAATGTATCATTATCACATTATCATGATATTTATGATATTTCATATATTTCATGTCTTGTCATAGTCCAATCGTGGTACATTCATTGCTGCACGGCTGAACGACACACTTTGCATGTCAGTGTACAGGACCATCCCCTCGTGGGATTTGACGTGGACGTTCAGGGCGGCGATGGTGAGCAAACCGAACGAGTAGTGCCCACCTTGGCCGAACGCATCGCTGCAGATGTCAGCAAGATAATGCAAGATATCTATGGGATGTCCACAATCCAACCTTATCATGAGAATTATGATTGTATACAATCGTTATATCATGTTATATCATATTATAACCATATTGTCCAGCTATAATTGATATAACAATATAATACAATATATAACATCACTTATCCCTTATCATCATCCTCAAAGTACCCATGATTTTCTCCCCCAGTTGCCAGGTGCTGAAGTTGCACCCAGAGTGGGCACCGCGTGGCGTGAGGCGCTTTGTGTCTATGTTGAGGCCCTTGGGAGGGTCCCAATGGGCAACCAATGGCCAAATCAACAGCAGTAACATGTCATTGCAAATAATCAAACAATAACATGATAATAACATGCAATTTCAAACAATTACTATACGTATATATTATATATATATGCAATCATTTCAAACCAAAAAGGAAAAACATTGAATCAGCCTTGATTCGGAGGGACCATTTTGCTTCAGGATGGGTGACCTTGAGGGATCTCGACTCCATCATGTTGCCAGTGACGGTGTTTTCTTTGGACTGCCAGCAGAGCCAACGTAACTTGATGGCAGAGCCACATTTTCTGGACAGTCTTTGATGCCCACTTTCTAGGTGCTATGGCTTTGGCGATTTGACATATTCTTGGGTGCTGGTTTCGCAGCTGACGGCTGTGTTGACGTTTTTGTGAGGGGCCACGTCTTAGATGAGACATGGCGGTGTATTTCAATATGATTTTGTTAATATTGCTTGAATCATGCACAATTTATATCAATTTATGGGTAAATAAGTAGAACATGAAGAGAAGGGGACACAACACATATTCTGACATTGCACTCCAAATCATTCAACTGGCAATAGCCGTGATTTATTGTCTTGTTATCTATTGTCTCTTGTTGACATATTGTTACCGTTGTTATCCATTGTTCTCAATTCTACAATACGGTCATCACATCGTGCATACAATGTTACATGCAGAAGTGTTTCGCAACATCATGGCAGCACATTGATGTCTTGGGTCTCTTTTCCTCAGGCTGGAATTGGACAAGATCCGCAATGATCGCGTAAGAGTTTCCTGACTGCACGCAGAAAGTCATGTGCTTCTGATCAGACAGTTGTCTCTGGAATTCATAAGGCATACTGCAAGGCTTTGCTCGTTTTATATGATGATATATGATGATAATCGGCTCAAATGGGACCGTCATGTACTTGTTCACGCGCAAAGGCATCCAACGTGCGGGGTACTGTTTCTTTCAAAGCAGGAGAAAAACTGTGTGGTGCACAGATGTGAAACTGTATGATTTATGCATAATCATTCATTCTCAGAAATGATTGTTCTCATTTGTTCTCCTTTCCTGATGCAGGAGGGCTTCTCCGCAACTCTCACAGTCGTGCTCAAGAGCTATTTGTAAATACGATGCTTGGAATGCTTGGAATGTTCACTGGCTGGAGCATGCCATGGATATGCAAGACATTGGTGATATCTGTCAGCATTTTGACCAACTTGACTTGTCTGGATTTGCGCAGACAAAAGCTGTCATCTAAATTAAATGGGACTTGACCCAAGGAAGGACAACTCTCACTTGGATGCTTGGCTCTATGTCTGTGCGCGGTGAAAGTGCTTCCATTCGCAGGCTCTCAATCACAATTTGTACATATCAATGATCTGGGCATCGACCATGTTCGCCTTGCAGCTCTCTTGGGCCGAGGATAAGGATGGCATTGCTCCCATTGCAGAGGTGGTAGAAGGCATCCTGACAAGGATACTTGCTAAGCTGCTACATAATATTATATAATATTAAAACGTTGACCGTTGTGGTTGAATGCACTGGGAAAGCAACGGATAGTGAGATATAGTGAGTCTATATAGTCACGAAAATTTGGGTGAAGTGGAAAGATCAAACAGTAAAAGATCAGCTACAGGCCACACAGGCCCATTTTTCTCCGTCGCAGCTTCGCTTCTGTGCCAGGCATGGAAACAATCGACAAGGTTCCTTGCTTCAGCAATAGTTTGCAAAGTCTTAAAGTACATACTGCTGCAGCTCTCGCTGTTCTGGGGTCCAATTTTCAAAAAGGTTGATCATTGATATGGGCCAGGGCTGCCACGTCTTGTTCACATATCCTTCGTTTATATATGTTTATACAGCATTTGAAAGACATAATTAGTAAACATGTGCAGAGTCTTCAAGCCAAACTCAAAGTCGTCAAAGTCGAAGTTGCAACGAAAAATGCACTGCAAGGTATTTGCAGGATATGGAAGATCCCCTGACGTCCAGCAGATCAAGAAGAAAGGAAGCACGTGACGCGATCGCAGCGATGTTAAACACAGTTGCAGCTTCTGTTAATTTCAATGTAGCAGTGCCACCAGAAGATTGAGTGATCGGCCAGTGCGTGGTTTGCAGGCTATCTGAACAACCTTTGAGCCATATGATTTCTCACAAAATGCAAGGTGGCTTGACATGTCTTGATTGAAACTTGCGGCCCAGGTATTTGGATACAGAGTTTCCGAAGCTTGCCAAGATTGTGTGACTTGGACAGCAGTGCTCTGTGAATTCACCATGTGCTGCAGCAGAACTTTTTAAGGGCTCCCGGACTCCCCAAAGCGGTTTCGTTGCTCTCCCCATGCAGTGCAAGGTCTGTATATCCCGTGGAGTTGGTCATGTAGACACGGACTCTTGGATCGCAAATTACGCAGATTTTTTGCAAATGATGAACTTCATCGAAAGTCTGACATGTTAAATCTACGGATATCTACGGATCCAAGTATATAATAGTGTTTACATATTACATGTATAGTACTTGCGTTTTTTTCACCTCAGACTCAGTACCACGAAGATGCGTAAGTGGTGACGTTTGCTCTGAAACAGCTTTGCTGCTTGGAGTCTTCCACTGCACTGAAGGAAATCAGTAGGGAAAACCCTTTCTGATCAGCCAAGGTGGACGCTTGAGAAGATTCCGGTAGTTGATTCCGGGCTTTAGACCACTGGTCGACGGTTTCTGAAGGATTGATATCGACAGTTTCAATTGATGTCCTTCTTGCTTTTTAACTCTGGCTATGCTGGCTATGCACAGACTTCGTCCTTTCGATCAAGACATCATGAAACATATGCGTAGTGGTTTGCCTCGGGATGGCCAGAGCATGCCAGAGCGTTTCAGTTTCGGTATTGATCCATTTGGCGCACGGTTGTGCAACGTTTCGCCAATCAAAGAAAGGTTAAAGAGATTCAAAAAGGGTGGTGCACATCGCTTGATGTAGTAAACTGTATCAGGCAAATGTATGCCGTCTCGTTCATTCGGTTCATTGTTTCCTGGGTCTTCCTGTAGTCCAGCAGCAGACTCGTTTCAGAGTTTGTTGCACTTGCCACACCTGCCTCTGGCTAAAACCATCCGTGTTGATGAGCAAAATAATTACTGGTTGACCTGGTTCATGATGCGATGTCTAAAGTAAGGATAGCTGATGTGATGATATGTTACGCATACGTTTGTAGTATTTTATAGTATTTTGTAATGCACTCTATAATGCAGATAGACAACGATGCTTCATGTCAGGGCCCCCCATCATTTTCCATACGTTTGGAAGGCTGCAATGGCTCGATTGAGACGAAGCCAAGCGATGGTCGCTGACAAAGGTCCGAGCGATTCAATTTCCTCCATGAACGAGACAGTTTGATTGTAGCGATTGTAGCGAATGCAGTGCTAGTAGAGCTATAGAACTCTTTATGCATCCTCTCCAGAGTACCGACACAACAACTGCTTGCGCTTGATTGTGCTTGTAAAAAGCTGGACATGTTCACATTTCTACAGATAATCGAATAGTTGAAGAGACAGACTGACATGATCGACAGCCACCAGCTGCCTAGGGCAGCAGCTCCAGCAGCAGCTCGCAGACCGTGCTGCGAAACAGGCTGTGTAATTTCTCTGTACGTCCCAGATGTCCTAGGGATTTCTCCCCTGATACGGTGATTTAGCATGATCTAACCATCAAACATGGTGACATTTTCCTGAGAGCCATCCCAAACAATGGAGATCTAACATGATTTGACCATCAAACATAGGGTTTAGCATGGTTTAGCAATGTTTAGCATGATTAATAATTCCATCATGAAATGGGGCGTTAATACAGCCAATGTGATATAGCCATGACAGGGCCAAAGTAAATCGGCCAGGAATCACTGAGCCACGGGATTGCAGAAGCCTCTAACCGCTTCCAGCAGTGAGGGCCTGGGGTTTGCTGCGAATGCAGTCTGGGATGAGAGAGAAAGAGATAAAGATAGAGAAAGTAACAAAATTAATAACTATGCAGCAATTTGTGATAATCATGGAGTAATAATTTGAGAAACTAACCTTGACTGTAAGAATCATGTAACACTGATTGAGGACAGATTGGGAGTAAAACGCTGAGGTTTGCCGTAAAAGAAATCATGCGTTCGAATCAATTTGTGTTCTAGTAGAAACCAGTCATGTATTGTTAAGTAACCGGGCGGTCATACGAATCTGCATAAGCCAAAGTCACCGTCGGGTAAGTGCCGCGTAATCCTTGCGTAACCAATATCCCGCGTAAGGAAAATCCTCAGCGGCGCAAGCAACGTGCAAGCTGTGCGTAAGCACATCCTTCCGACCCTTGAATCTATCAAGCTTTTTGGCATTTTTTGGCACAGCTCAGGTGTTGCAAACATTTTCTCTGATAGAAGGGCTCTTTTGACGTTGTGCGTTTGAAAGGTATACTGTCTGCTTCTGATGAGAATACTCCTATTCACATCTATTCACATATGATTAATTAATATTAATTACATTATTAGGAGCACCCTATCATTACTATCCTGGTTGCAAAGTGCAAATCAAGGTTTCCCACAACGTCAGATGCACAGGCAATTCAGAGGGTGCATGATTTTCAATGCCCCCGAATCAGGATCCGCCAATCCCAGCTCCGTTCCAAGGTTGCAAGCAAATGAAGAGCAGATGCAGCGTGAAGTGCTTGCACTTCGCCGTGGACACCTCAATTGAAATCCAAAGGATTCCGAATATCGAAACATGGTTTTTCTTGAAACTATGTGAAACTTAAGTCTCAGGCCGCGAAAGAACAATTGCTGAATGCTGCAGATGTTTTGATGATGTTTGATGTGTCAAATACCTTTCTGGTAGTCTATACGATGATATACACTGATTCAGCATATCCAGATCCACTGCTGTAGTAAATTGACATAAATTGACGTAGTCAACTGACAGATGATGACATTTGTATACATTTGTTTGTTTTGCTTCAATCACATGCATATTGCCGCGTGGGTGTGTTCTGTCCAGGCCGCAATGCAACTCTTCGGAGATTGGTTCCTGGATAAAAAAAAAGCCCGAAGCGATTTGCAATTTCGCTCACCAAAAAATGGCACATGATGGCATAGCTCGTTCGAAGTTCGAAGAATGTCAAAGTTCGCCCTTGTCCAGCTTCTCATTGCTCTTCAACGGATGCGGAACAAAATTGTGTTCAGGGAGAACCCAACAGCAGTAGGTGACCTGTGAAGCACTGAAGCACTAGTCTGTTTTCCAGCATCAGCCGCTTCTGTTTCTGTAAGTTTCCTTTTTGCCTGGAAGCCTGCAGTGTATCAAAATGTATCAAAGCAATGCCACAATGGCAGAAAGAAACCCACAGTTCTTGGATGTTCTTTGCTTGTCAGCGTAGAATCGACATTTATGGTGTCCATGACTTGCAATTGGCTGCATCATGGAATTACTGTGCCAAAGCACTCATGAATGTGAGCGTTTTGGAGTTGCCACAAGCTGATGGCAGCTCCCAAGTTTTGCATCGTAGGCGGAGGTGTGATATGGTGCGGTCGTGCATTTTCTGACGGGCATTCGGTTGTCCCTATGTTGCCCGCTTTGTGCCCACTTTCCACAAGATTCAAACACTGAGAAAAAGAACCGACAAAGATGGAACATGTTTGAAGCCAGGGTTTTGCTTTCCATGAGCTTCTGCCAGTGCCTCCAGGAGTTTCGGGCCTAACTTGTGCCCGACTGCTGCAGCGAAGCCTCCCTCATGCACAAGTGACTGTTCTGGAAGCCTCAGAACGACTGGGTGGACTGGTGCGCACTTCCAAAGGACCTTTGAATCCTTTGGGAGAGGAAATATTGCAGTGGATGTAGTGTATGGGATGGAATCACCATCATGGAGTCAACTTGAAATCAATAAAACTTAAGTTGGTGGAGCACATATCATGATCTTTCAAAGTTGTCCCTTGGATGCTTAAAAACTTTGGTGAATTGATCTGGATTTTTTCTCGTCAATGTTTTGTTTGGTTCTTGCGCTTGTCCAAATTGTTTGTCGTTGCTCATGGTGCAAACGTTGGTGGCGAACCACATTTGTGCCGACTCGCTGATTCCAGGAGCCAAGTCACAGATTTTTGAGGATGGTTTCCACAGCAGCATTCTCGTCAATAAGAATGGACGAGAGGCTCTGGGCCTCATCAAACTTTTGAAGCTCGAGGACGAGGTGATTGGTGCAAACATTGAGGCATCAGCACGACGCCACCTGTTGCATCGCGGCAGTGTGCGCTTGGTCCCCGGGCCTCACCATGTGTTGCTCTATGGCCCAGCGCTGATGGCGGAACCTCTGTGGCCTCGGAGTAAAGATGCAGACGAGAGCGTCTATGACTTTGTTGCACGACGAGCCTCGAAGACATTGGCGAAAAACTTGGCTGACCCCATTTGTCGTGGTCAACTGGCGGGAGATGCTAAGGAGCTCTCAGTTCGGACGTGCTTTCCCAGGCTTTGGCACAACGAAAGACGCTTTGGATCCGTCTTTCTTGGCGTCCGCTGCTTTGGATGTAGAAATGACATCTCTTGAACATGTTCATTTGCAGTGTGCGTGCAAATGAACAAAGTTTCAGTGCCCCAAATCCATTTCTTTCTTCACATGTTCTTCCACATTTTGTTTCACACAGTCATGATCTTCAACTTACTTTGGACATCTTTGGACATGTTTGGACATCTTTGGACATTCTGGGAAAATCAAAAGCGAACTGCCGAGGCCGCTCTGTCCACCTTTCTGGCATACCGCCATCGAAGTTGGATGGCCTTGGACTTGCTGGACCGCTCTGCGGCTTTCGAATGCTTTCAATCCGTGTAGAGATTGATAGTTAAAATTGATTAAACTTGTTAAACTTGATAGACTTTACACGTCTTTCTCCCGAGAATCTTCCACTGCATTCTAGAAATCATTGCAGGTGGTATAGATTGAGCCAGTGTCTTTCAACATGTGCTCAGAACAAGTACGGCGAATTAGTATGTCTTGAAGCAGCATTTGACGTGAGATGGAAGAAGATGAGCTGCCAATTCACTACCCTCATGGCCTCAGCAAAGCTCCAACATTGTCAAACTATCCTATAGATCCCTATAGAATTTGCTGGAACCTGTAGATGGGAATGATGAGAACGTTCAGTCCAGTGGAAGTCCTAAGCGACGACTGGTGATCTTCCGGTTGTTCAGATCATACATCAACACTGAGATCAGCGAACTTCCTGAGGCTGCCCAATTTTGGCATTTGTGCCAGGAACCGTTTCACAGGAATATGGTGAATATGTGAGCTGTTTGCACTTCAGTTACAGCAAGGGGTGATGCGAAGTTGCCCTTTTTTGTCGCTCAGCAATGGAGCCATGGGCGCCGGTTGCCGTTGGTCACTTTGCATGCCTCATATCAAGCTGACAAGAGCCGCTTCAACAGAGCTGCATCTCGATCTGCAAAGTGCAACAAACGCAGTGATTCTTCAGCAACGTTTACCGAATTTCGTCCAAGTCGGCCAAGTATTTTGCTTTGTATATACGTACAAGTTTTTGACAAATGGATACGAACGGCGGTATGAGGACTCGGTATCGTATTGTATCATATTGTATCGTCTTATTGTAGGAACACATGCTTTGGGTGAGTGAAGTCGAGGAGTCGTACGACAGCACCCTGTGATCCAGGCAGAGACCAAGTCACGACCACAAGGCAGTGTGGGCATTTGCAGGCGGCATGGTCGCCAACCGTTGTCAGTCGTTGTCGTTGTCAGCACACCTGTTATTACTGTGCTTCATATGCTTCATTGAGATACATTGAGATAGGATTGATTGGATGCAACATCTGAAGATATCTGAAGTGAGTGAATGCGGTTGTGTGACCTTTCGCCCCTGACAGGCGGTGCAGCATGGTGCGAAAGAAAACGAAAAGGCCACTTTCCACGTGCCGTATCTAATGGAGTGGATGATCATTCAGCTGCGGTCAAAACGTGGCTACACAAGTTCATCATCGGCAAGAACTTTTGCCCGTGGGCAAAGTCAGTCAGTGACAACGACTCCGTGAGGGCTGCCCGGAGGAAATGCCATGTTTTTGGAAGTGTGCTTGATGATGCTTGATGGTTTCCTCAGACAGTGCAAGTAACTAGCAGGAAGCTGCTTCGAAGTTGGGTACTCCTTAGTACTCCTCTGTCAAATTGCCGAATCTCCCTGTGTGCTGGGTCTGAATCACAATGGCTCAGGTTGTCACTAGCCTTGCGACCACAGAAGATGGAATACTGCGCGATTTGGAAGAAGAAGTCGCTGCACTCCCATCCTGTCCAAATGTGCCCGAGGGTGTTCCTAGCACTACTTTGCTGGTGTGCCCTCACGTTTCGTCCTGGCAAGTCAGAAGCTTATTCGAGCAGCTCATGAACTGTTTGCTGAAGGTTGTTGCAGGAAATTGTTGAGAACCGTTGCATGCCTTCCATTTCTTCCCTTTGAGGATTTTGATACTTTCAACGAGTTCTATGGAAATGCTCTTCGGAATGGTGTCCTTTTTGAGGAGAATTTCAAAGTGAAGTTGGTAGCCTTTCACCCAAGCTTCATCCACTCACCTTTGCATCTCATGCTGCATTGATCCGTTTCTAGCCTCGACCCAAGCCCCTGATCCACTGTGATCCACTCTGATCTCAAGGCCAGTCAAAGTTTTCGTGCGACCGTTGATGGATTCAACAATATTCAACAACTTGTACTGAGTAGTGTACAAGTTATACTGCGTTGGGTATGAATTGTTTGTCGGATGAGACAGGTCCACTTCTAAGTTGCCTTGTTTCATCTTGTTTCTTCTGACCGCAACGCATGAGGTATGGCCCTGTATTGGAAGTTGGTGACGTGTTGACTCTCCCAACATCAGAGGGTGAAGTGGACGCAACGGTCCTGGATGCAGATGTTGAAGCAGAAGAACCTGGGGAGGCGTTTCGTGTGCAATTGGAGAATGGCGAGGAACAGGTTATCAGCTATGCGCTCTTTGGCGGGAAGATGCAGCAAGTTTTTGGACTTTGGTGACATATATAAATGAGATGAGATGATATGTTACAATGTATGTCGTGTAGTTATAATTGATATTAATTGATCATGATATGTAAGTATTGCTCGGCTATGCTATATCATTAAATATTAAATTATTCTGATCTGTTTTGAATATTGTTGAGCATTATTTTGTTGAGTTGCTACTTTTGTGCCTCCGTGACAGGCGACTAGCAGAGTTGCTGCAAGACTCCCAGTATGAAACCGTGGAAGATGCGGATGAAGATGGAGAGGATGCCGAAATCGAAATGGATGAGGAAACAGAGATCCTTGAGAACATGGCCCAAAGAGCGCCACGACCAACTTTCCACTTGCTGAGATTGTGCGATGTGTCTAGTGCATTGCAAAGTCCAATTGCAGAGACACTCGATGAGCAGAATTATGAGACAGCTCAAACATTGGGCTGTGAGGGCTGGCAAAATCTGATGCTAGCCTGCGAAAAACAGGGGGAGAAAAGCAAAGGACAAACCATATTGTAGATTGTAGATTTTCAGCCTGTTGCCGTGCGAGGCAATGACTCATGTTTCATAGCACCATTCTTGGTTCACTTTCTCAACGCAATAATTCTGCATTACAGGACCCTTTGCTGCAGAGGATTGCAGCTGGTGGTCGCTGCTACCTCAGAGTGTTTTAAATTTGGAAATCTCGGTCTCGAATGAGTTCCTGTGTTGGTGATCTTAGACATTTCTTAGGACCAATGTAATTGGCAGAACCTTCCTGCTTCGAGTTGCTGCAAGGTTCATACTCCTTCAGAACTGGTTTGATGAGCTTGATCGATGCCCTAGAGGATGAGCCTTGGGACCTTCGCGAGCTCCATGTTTTAAAGTTCTGATCCAGCCTGATTCTTTGTTTAAATAATCTTGTTTCGTTGATTTCGTCAGGCAAGTCATGAGGCAGATCGAGTGCTGCATGTCTGAACACACTCATGAGCTTCTGGAGGCAGACCTGCCTGGTTGTGTTCGATCTGCAACACTGACAGGAGCAGCTGCTGAATCCAGCCCCAGGAACAAACGCAGTAGAAATAAGGCTGGGGGGCTTTCACGTGTTTGGACCAGCATCGCGTCATATGAAGACAGTCCTGGCTTTTAAAGTCGTCTAAGGTTTTGAGTTCTGACAAAAAAATCATCAAGAATCCTCTCAGCCCAGAACACGGGAACATTTGTCCGAAGGGAACCCAAGAAAACCAAGAGCCACACCCTCGACCAAAGTTCAACAGAAACTGGGAGTTCCAGGCGAAATTCTGCCATTGACCGGACGGGGCCTTAGCATTGAACATTCTGCACATCTTTTTTTTGCACATGTTCACTGTTCACCAAATGCTTCCATTCGCCATTCAGCGGTGCCCCAGGTTGCAAGCACCAAAAGATGGGACGAAAGCCCAGGTTTTGCTGCGTTTCAGACTCGGAAGATCTCGGACAGCGAGTGATGGGATCGCAGGTGCAGATGGGCATCGCTGAGGTGATGGCAGCCGTGTAGAGGCAGACTGTGTCCGCTCCTTGGAACAAAGCTCCAGATGCTCCAGACGCTTCCTGCTTCCAGAGCATTCCAAAGCTGTGGAAAGCAGCTGAATGCGATAGTTTTGAGTTGTGTTTTGATTATTGTAAGGGCTGTGAAGTTCAAGAATCATGCGGAGATACTTTGATTGCAGGTTATTGCGGCGATTCAACCGACGGTCCTAGGAGAGCTGCTGAAAACCAGCGGTCCGGACCACAGGTGCCGTTTATTGCATTTTGGTGCGATCGCGATAAGGAAATCTTAGGATCACAACATTGTGCAGCATTGACCTGCACTATGGTGGAAATGGCATAAGTATTCCATACTGAGGCCTTGACCTCTCAGTTTCAACTGCCATTGCCTCGGTGCGAGACTCCCATGGTCCTATGCGGATTTGTTGTTTCACTGCAACATACTGCAACAGCACTTGAGGGCCAAAGCCTTTGCCAACTGTTAGAAGAAATCAAGAACAAGGCGGGTGAAATTGGTGATTTTTCGCAAGAATCAGAAACTGCAGTAGCAACGATTCATGAAATCATCGAGGCATCCTCCATATCAAAGGGACTTGTTTTTGAGTGTCTAGACTAGACTCAACACAACATGGATTTGCCTTATTTCAGATCAGGGTGATCAGGGACATAGTATTTAGCACCCTGAATTTGATGTCCTTCCTTGTTTATGTTGGCCAGTCGGTGGCGGTTGTGAATATCAGCTATGACAAAGATGTTTTGAAGGACTTTGCCCATCTCATCTGCATACGCATGCTCACAGCCATTCGATTTTCTGGGGCCACCTACCTTACAGATCCTTACAGTTGTTAGGTACAGTGTTGTATTTTGTTTCAGACACACGAGTCCTTCTGATTTGATTGATTTTCAGACACTGTTTCCAGCGCTGCTTCAATCTGCTTCATGCTGATCACCCCAGGAGCGCAGACTGCGCGGTGCAGGCTATTTCGTCGGCTCGTCGGAGAACCATGAGCTCACTCCTCAGTCGTTGGTGCAGACAAGCTGGCAGAGACCGCACCATTGCATGATTGGATGCGATACTGTAGTACTATATCTATTCTATATCATTCTATATCTGGTATGTCATAGTACCCTATTGCATCTATTGCGGTATCCGAATGTATCCGATGTATCTGTGGTGCGGATCAAATTGCACACAACACCTCTGGATGAGCGTCAACTCCCGCGCCAGCTTTCAACTCAAAGAGGCAAAGCAAATCAAAAAGGATGCCACAAAAGAAAGTCTTGGCATATTCTTTATTTCGGCTCAACTGAAAAGCAGTGCCGCTTGAGCAACATTATAAATGAATATATATATATTATACTAATTATGTAATATATACTATATGAATGCATGAGGTCAGAGCTTCTTTGGCAGTTTGGTTCTCCAAGGTTTGTTTCCGTATCAACTCTAGTGTACTCTAGTGGTTTGATGTCAGGCTTACTTTTTGCTATGCTGTGCCGACATGTTGAGCAGGGTGTGTTTGCTTCAGAGAAAATTCTGAGTCCAGCAACGGGGGTGTTGGGCGCTTCCCTCGCCATGGCCATGTCAGCCATTTCGGTGGTCGTTGGAAGCCAAAGTGCGCCCAAATTGGAGGCTGCACGGCAGGGCTTTGAGCGATTGGGCTCGGCGTCAGTGGAGGTGACAGGTGTGACTTGGCAAGTTCATAAAGCCTCCCTGGTAGATATTAATGCGATATTAATGGTATTTAATGGTAACATATAGTAACTACTGATGGATAGGGATTAATGGTAACCATGTTCTGCAGAGGTTTTGAAATGCTAAGACAGACTGCTAAGAGATGCTCAGAGTTTATCAATCCCATTCCACAACATTCCGGCAGCAGTTGCTGAAACATTCCTGAACACATGACATACAGTAGATGTTTGGCTTATTGAAGCAGATGTTCAAGCATGGCTTTCTGTTAATAGTGGATTGAAACCCGGGATTTTTCGGCTGAATGCTATGCTTCACTTGTTTTGTAATGGGACGAGCTAAAGCCAGTGTCAAATTTCCACACATTTTCACAGGACATGTCGGACATGTTCATCGTCTATCCTTGAAGCAGGGTGCACGTGGGTGCACTGTCCAACGACCATGTCATGTATCTGAATCTATTTCCCTTCCTTTGCTGAACTCAGGTGGAGGCCGACTCTGGTGTTTCTGCACAACCGTTTGGGATGGAGGAAACTCGCCTTGGTGCACTGAATCGCTTAAAAGCAGCTCGTGCTTCAGCAGCTTAGAAGAAGTGGCTGGGGATGCTGGGGGCTCAGGGCTGGTATGGGCCCTGATTGGAAGATCAGCGACATCTTCAATGATTCCATATGATTCCTGTGTGACATGACAGGGGAACAGAATGAGCCAAGCAGCTGTGCCCATGCCCTCATAGCACCTACCCGGTTTCAACGATGTTTCAATACTAGTGCAATGTCATAATGTATGGAATGTATTGGAATGCCACATGATAATACATGATACACTTACAGTCCTTGAATGTCCTTTAGTAGAATGCAATGGCCATGCAGGAGTGGATGACCTGTGCATGGCAATCGTAAAGTGTATGGCAAGGCGTTGCAATGCGTGACAATGAGTCGCATCATTTGAGGCAGAGGGCACGGTGGCCGATTTTTGCATCGCTTTTGAAGGAGGAGTTGAAGAGGATGCTGAAGGTGTGATGGCATGCTTTGCAGTGGTTGCTTGGTGTTCAGTCCCGTTTGGTCTCACCGCGTTTAGTTGATGCATGAGCTGACGGAGTCCCATATCTCCAAGGTTTGTGTCCAATTCCGAGATGACGACTTCATCAGTCAGGCGAGAGATGTTGAGTTAAGGCATAGTTAAAGAATGTTAAAGATAATTTATGCAGATTTTGCACAAAGGACGAGTGAATTGAAATCGGTTGAAATCCGTCCAAGTCCTACCTCCGGTGGATATGTTCTTGTTTAGAGCGCTACAGGTTCGAAGTGCAACACATTCTGTACCCCCGGGAATCACGTGACTTGGCTGCTGGACGCATCCCATCAGTTTAATATGAAAATTAATTGTTAACTTCCTGGTTTTGTCATCAAGACCGTCTTGAGATTTGAAAGCAGTGCCATGAAGAATCATGAAGAACAGATGGCTGGGTTTGTTAGAGTTGTTCAAACCTTAGTAACCTAACTGCTTTTCGCCGTGAAAATTGAGGGACCTGGATCATGTGCGCGATACCAAAAGACTTGGTGATTCAAAACAAAAACATGATAGAATTGGCTGAATTCACTAATGTCTGCTACATAGTTGCCAGATGTTGTCACTACATGGTTTCCTTTTTTCATACCATGTTCACTTCCCGAAGCCAGGAAGATGCTGCGTGACGGCATAGAGCTTGGTGTTGCAACCGACAGATTCTTCGCAGACAGAGCTGCTTCGCTGCATTGAAGATCTTGTTGATGATTGTCGATTCATGTTTATTCATGTTGTGCTTTCAAGTTTGGGACCGTTGCGCCACATGGTTCCATCTTGCGGCCCATTCTCATGCTACACTAGCAACCGATGCTTTGGCTTGTAATCCGAAGGTGGAAGCAGGATACGGCAAACACACAGGCCTGCAGGGGGACCAGCAACACTTGCCCTCTGAGAGATGAACCAAAAGTGAAGTGGCGCAATGTCACGCCCTCATGTTGTAATGGTTTGGTTACGGTTCGTAGATGTGAACACATGCGGTAAACACACCTGGATGCTTTCAGGCGGCACCATCGGAGCTTTGAGTTACGGGGTCGTGGACCGGGTGGAGTTTTATGCGCAGCCTGCGTGCTTGAGCTTAGTGCCGTGGCAGCAACTTATCATGGCCACCGTCTCCGGATTATCGAAGCAGCACTCTGTATTTGCACGTTCTTCAAGCCTGCAGGTACCTTTCCTGAACGCTGATGCCTATGGTATCAGCCGAACAAATCCTTTGCACCGAGGGCCAGCGGGATAAAACGGTTGAAAAAGCCTGGCTGATATGCTAAGTCACATTTGCTCATGGCCATTCTACTTACCAGATTTACCAGTGCTCATGGAGCAATCGATTGCTCCCAGCCTCCTCATGTCGCCCAGATCAATGTTGGGGATGTGTTGGGACTCACAGCTTTTTCCAGAACATGCAGGCGGGGGTATGGCAAAATGCTTTGTTTTGAGTATATGGAATTGCAACATATTCTACTGGTAATTCTGGAAATTCCCTTGGCTGTGATACAGGTGCTGACAGTGCAAGAATGACATTGTGCCCCTCCTTGCCTGACTTCAGAAGAAACTTTCAAAATCCGTTCAGCTCTCCAACTTGCATATTTTGATATATTTTGATATATTTTGATACTTGCGGCAAAAGCTACAAGATTGTCCTGGACTAGGAGGATCTGGGTAAGTGTGCATATTCTATATAACTTGTGAGATATTGATGATCGCTTGCAAGATGCAAGATAAAATGCTTGTTCCTGCACGAGGTACTTTGATGCTTCCAACACCTACTCCTCATCCGAAGGTGGATTGGTCAAGCAAAATGTTCCTGATGATTTGGAAGTGTTTGGTTGCTTCAGCAATTGTATCCAAGAGGTCAGACATAGACAACGATGCTGATTTGTTTGCAAAGTTTGCAACGTTCACGGGAAGGACAATCTGAGAAGTCCCTGGAAGTTGCTGCCACAGCTGCTGTTGCGACTCACTTGGGTGTCAAAGAAACGTGCGCAGCTGAGACTCCAAGATCCAAACCGGTCCAAAGAGGTCCAAAGGCTTCGTATGGCTTCGTGGCCTTCAGTACCGGGGCATCCTAAGCCCTCCGTGCACTCAGGCCCTCTGAGATTCGCGTAAATCTTTGGCACGACGTCCAAAGCCAAATGTCAAAATATGTCAAAATATGTCAACATGTTTGAATATGTTTGAATATGTTTGTATACTTTTGAATATTTTGAATACAATTGACACTTTTGAATACGTTTTTTTTTATATTTGAATGTTTTTTTTCATTTTCTGACAGCATGGGAAGAATTCTCATCCCACTCTCTGCCGCTTCGCACCAAGGCAGTGCCCCAGTATCTTGTCGGCCACCATCAGAGGATGCAGGATGAAATGGGATGAAACGGGATGCCATGTGTTGCCACTTCCATCTCTTGAAAGGCCACAGAAAATTTCTAAAGAAGACAGATATAGACAGATGAAGATAATTGAAAATTATGTTGAAATACAGTAATACAATGTAATACAGAGGATATATTTTTTGTAAATGCTGCAACTTGCTCCCTGAACGCAAGGAACTGATTGCTGTGAGACGCCGCCACCTGCCATGGTTGCAGGCTGGAGTCTCAAAGAATACACTAGGATGTCGCTTTTGATTCAAAGAAGGCAGCTACCACATGTACTTCCATTGTTGTCATTGTCAACATATCATTTGATCATATTTAAATGTAATGATGTTAGATAGTCAAAATAATATGTGCATACTATTTGAATGCTATTTGATGCATTGATACACGTATAGTATAGCCGTATAGATATGTATACAATACTATATTGATACTATATATTATATATATACATGATCATCTCCATGTAAACATTGGATGATATGGATGTTTATGTTGGGAACTTCCGGAATCTCAAAACATCACTGCGTGGGTCAGCAGGTCAGTGGTCCTGGTTACTTCGGAACCAGAAACGTCGCGGATGAAATTGTGGATGCCAGGGAGCTGACGGACGTCTTGCACCGAGGAACATTTTCGCTATCTTAGCTAAAAAGGGTGAAACGCCATGAAAATCATGGAACATCCCAGAATTCTGGAGGATTATATGATGGATTATGATTCAGTCTGGCGGTTTCCCGTATTTTTTGTGCCTTCAACCATTGTTAAACACTGTTGACTGGTTCAGCTCAGCTCTGTGCAAATGCTCCATGAGTTGGTGGAACCGAGTCCCTGGCTCGGCGCTTTGCCAGATTTCCTGGCCTGGTTGAAAACGAGCTTGATGAGGCCCGTCATGGCCCGTCATTCATCTCAACCCGATCAGATTCAGAATATTTAGAACCCCGTGCAATAATTAAGATGACAGAAGATGGCAGAAGCATGTATATAAAAATACACCTTTCATGTTATTTCATCATTAATCATCGACACATTCAAACCAATTGTGTTTGAGCATGCGCGCACACACATTGTATTGGGCATTCTTTGTATTTGTTGTTGCATCCAATCTATTCTGTTTCGGTGAAAGCATGTGAAACCATTTTTTGGAATTCACAAGGACAGCTTGCGGCGGATGGATGGATTCTGATGCTTGCAGCTTCCAGTGCGAGGGAAAGGAGGCAAAGGACCTTCCTCATTGGTTCGCTTTTGCTGAACAAGATCCGAACACTTCTGCAGATGCTGGGCACTGTTTCGCACTATGCTTTCAAGATCTCTCAAGACGCAGATCTTGGAATATCTTTAGCAAACCTTTTTGCAGAGGTCGTATGCGATGGCTCAAAATATTAGCATCCCACGGAGTCACACAGTAGCTCCACAGCACAGTAGTTGAAAGAAGCAAAGAACCAAACTGAACCAACAAGTTTCCTCCCTGAAGTTTTTGCTTTAGGATCCTTCTTCAGTTTCCTGGCAGAGAAGTAGATATGAGGAGGCTATGCTTCTTCCGCAAATTCAGTCTGGAAGATGTTTTGTCAGACATTGTTCCTTGTCAAAGACAGATCGGCAAGAGCGTGATGAGACCTGTGCACAAGCCCCCCCATGGCCGGTAGGCTGGCAACAGGTCAGGACCGGCACTGTACAAGTGGCAACATGCGCTTGTATCCGAGCGAGAAGCAGCTAGGGCAGCAATGACCGAAGAATTTGTAGGAACTTGGCACCTTTGTCCTGCAGGATTTTATTTTGAAGAACTTTGTCCTGATTCTGGCTTTTTGCTCACTAAGTTTCTTAGCTGCATGCGGCATGCGGAGCAGAACTGCAAAATGTGGTGGCGATTGTGGTGAGATGTTGTCAGGCTTCCTTTACACATCGCACCGGGAGACCCTGCAGGGAGTTCCGATCGACAGAAGCCGAAGCAGCTCAAAGGCTGCTTGCGATGATTGGGTGGAGTCAAGATGAGTCAAGTGTCAACTGTTCCCTTGACTTGGGAGTGTTTGGACTACTGGCACGCACACACAGACACTTTACTGTTTTTTGCGGTCGAATGGATCAAGGAAACGAGGCGCATTTGCAAATTTCTTGCTCGAAGGCCACAGTGAGCAGGACTTCCAACAAATGTGGAGTCCTGAGTTGGTGTTCATCATACATTGGGGGTGATGTGTTTGATTGCCTCTTTAAGTTTCAACGAGAGTCAATATAGATCTACATGTTACATGATCGCATGAAACCAGAAGCAACACTTCATGGTGTGCCTTTAAGTGCCTCTGGGATTGTGCGAAATCTGTACTAATTTGAGACGTACTTGACTGCCTCAGTTGCCAAAGAGCAAGCGGCACCAGGCGGCAGACCAAGCTACGCTGTTGTTTTTCCATGTCCTGTATGGAAGTCTGTTCTTTTCTAGTTTTACATTGCTTTACTATGTTCGAGGGCTGACTACTAGCTTGTGCAAGTCAAGCATAGATTGGACATTGGCCCGTCGTACAGTCAATGAGTTTTGCTTGAGAAGACAGGTATCGCCGGTCTCGCTCATCAAGAAGGAGTGGTATTCCAAGACACACATTGGGCCTTGGGCTGGATGGGGAACCTTGAGTGGACGACCGTCTCAAAGTCTGGGAATTTCAGCTCCTGCACTGTCCCAAGAAAGCATTCAAGAGCTACAGTAAGCGGATGTAAGTGGCACATCAATCGTCCCTGCAGCCCAAACGGTCCCTGCAGTCGTAGCGTGGCTGCTGAGTTTCTTGTAACTTAAGTGTACTTTAGTAGCTTTCCGGCGGCTTTGCTTTCGGCCAAATCTTCAAGGGAAGCGGCAGCATGGGCTGATGTGTCGCTCCCACATAGGTTTGGAGTGGCACTTCCATTTTTTTGGGAGCTGTTGGGTCTGAACAACAGTGTTTCATAAAGTGTTGATGCTTGTAGTACCGGCTGAGGTGGACAGCCCCACAAGCTCTTGCCCCAGTCTGGATGTTGTTGCAGTGCTAACGTGTCTTTGTCTAAAAGTGACACCATGAGTTTTACCAGGAGACGCTATCAAATCTGTTGAATTTTGACTACTTTTAAAATCTGTTCAACATGCCTCCGCATCCTGTCCCTCGCAATCCAGCATGATCAGGCCGGCCAAAGTCTTCAATGCCGGATTTTGGGGATGTCTCCTGGCGAGTTACACAAATCATTTTGCGGATGTGATATATAGGATGTTACAGGATACAAGCCCTCAAGCCATAGATATCCGAGGTACGGCATATTCCTTGATGAAACTCACAGACGGCGACACTGCAGATACATGCTGCATGTCGTGTTTCCTCCCCAGGTAGAGCACTTTGCCGGCAGGCAGCAAAGAACAGGCACGACAAGAATTGTATCGAAAATCAGAACTCGAATGTTTCAAACAGAGTAAAGCATTATATGTATAGTATAATTACTGTATAACATTGTATAACTATAGACACTATGCATACGTCTTGCATGTTGTATCAGTTTGGATTCGGGGAATGTAATGCACTGCAATCTTTGCAACAGGAGACGAGGAAGGCAAGATCAGGCCGGGATTTCAAGCATTTCAAACTTCAGTCCTTTGTCTTCACAACAGAGGGGATTTGTCGATCTAAATTTGTCTTTGGCAGGTCTCCGTCCATGGCTCAAAAGCAGACGCCAACATCGCAGCTAAACGAGGCTGACTTCATCGATTGGTCCTCCACTGTATTCTGCTTTCTGTTTCGAGACTCTGATGCGTTTCTTGATGTTGACCCCATTAAGTCATTGTCATACTAGTTACATCTAGTTACTAATTCACGTTGAATCCCCCATTCTTTGCCTGAAACTCGATGCTCGA